CCCCAAAACCCCAAAACCCCAAAACCCCAAAACCCCTTATTTTATTTCAATTATTGAAAATTTTAAGAAGGAATCTACTATTCTTGCTGAATAATACCTTTCTTCTTTATCTTAAAAACCCCTAAAGAATCGGAGATATTACATACCTTTGAATCCCTTCTTGCATTTCTTGCTGCATTTGGAAGCGAGAGTGAACCTTTTCTCATTAGAGTCGCTTAGTTTGATCTTCTTGACTTTGAGTTCACTCTTGGCTAATATTTTCTTAAAATCACTGATTCCATCACTGATGAGATCCTTGTTTAAAGTCTGTCCAGAGTTTAATTCTAGAAATCTAGCGAAGGAGCTTACTCTTGCTCAGCTTGTACCTTGGAGAGATATCCTTGTTCTTGATGACTATAGATAGAGTTACAAAAGTCCCTCCATAAGGTGAAGAGCTCTTTCATCTAGCTTGATGACTTACCTATCTTTTTATCCCATTTGAAGTTCAAACCTAGATTATTAGTACAAAACCTTACTTTTATTTAGGGTTATACTTGATCTTGTTAAGGCTGATGGTTTCTCTCTTACTAAATTTTAAGAAAATGGAGTACTTTTTAGGACTACATGAAGCCATGGCAATCCTTCTCAGAACTTTAATGGGCCCCTTGTGAGGTAAGAGATCAAATGATCTCATGTTTGAAGAGTTATAGTTCAGATCCCTTTCAGCCCTAGATCTTCTTCTAGAAGCAGAAGCACTGATTACTAAGCTGTTCTGTTTTTCACTAGTGTTTCTACTTTTCTTCATACTCAGAATTGAGCTTCTTGAAGTCATGTTAATCGAAGGGTTGGCAAGACCTATCTTCTCAGCATAGTAGCTAGACTGAGAAATCTTATCTAAATAAATTATTTTCCTCGAGTACCTTTTCCTGTCGAAGTCTCTTTATGTCTCTTAGCCCTCTTAGACCTTTTGAAATTAGTGTTTCTAATTTTAACAAAATCTTCTCTATGGGAATAGTTTTAAAAGCAATGAAAACATTGTTGAAACCACTTGGTTCGGGTAGCACAGAGAGGAAATGATGTCTTACTTTGGCTTAATAAGGTAAGAAATATCATTTAACTTTCCGAGAGTTACATTTCAGCCTATATTTGTTAGCTCCATTGAAAATTTCTTGGTTACCTAACATTAATTTATCAGCCTTGTGAAGCTTCTCATTACTTGACATTTTAGCTATGAAATTAAGCTCATTGATATAAATGGAAATTAAACTTACCTCTGACTAAGTCCCTGGTCAGAGACTCACTATGTTTTGACATGAATGGTGACCTTGAATCATTCCTTCCCCTATAGATTACCAGTTTTGGAATGTTAAATAAGATCAGAGAGAAATGAAAGAAATTTAGACTTCCATTAAGGAAACATCTGCAGGATAGAAAAAGAAGAGGTTATAAACCAAAGTCAAATGTGATCTAAACTAACTTACCATGATCCTCTGATGATTTTGTCCTCAAGCAAATCATATGAAGGGCTTCTGATCTCATCATTCCTAGTCGATGATTTTGATCTGATATATTTCAGATCAATTGTTTTATTCATCACCTTCCTGGAGTTTTTCTTACTTGAAGCTCTATACAAATGAGGATCGTATTTTAGCCTAAAGCTGAGATCTGAGTAAAAACAAGAAAATGTTCAATTAGTGGCTTTAGGAATAGATTTGATAAAATAGTAAGAACCGGACTTAGATGAAGAGATATGTGTCTTTTGAGAATTTATTTGCGTTTAGAATTGGATTTTGAAACAAATGATGTATTTAAAGTAAATTTCAAATAAAGTTTAAGATTAGATTTAGCCCAAACACTGATGATAAAACTTAGCTTGAAGTTGCTATTGAAGATTTAAAGGAAATTGGAAGAAAAATTCATTCATATATTTTACCCTATGCCTGAATCTCCTGTTGTTGTAGAAAGAGTTTGCATTTTCCTTGTATTTTTCTATATTTGATTATTATTGTGGGGTTTTGGGGTTTTGGGGTTTTGGGGTTTTGGGG